AAATCCACACTGGGTTCAGGATGGCTCAGGGGGGAAGAACATGCACTGCTCTTCCAGAGGACCTAGGTGTAGTTCCCAGCACCCACACTGAGCATCTCATAACTTTCTATACCCCAACCCTAGGTGTCAGGAGTCTTCTGCCGGCCCTGTACTCACAGTACTTGCAAACACACAGACATTCATGTATTCACATAATAAAAATCTTTATGGATTTTTATACATTATACATATGATTAAAAAACAAAATCTTTTTAAAAAACCCTTATTAATTGCTGGGCATGGTGTAGTACACCCTTACTCTTCAGGAGGCAGAGGCGGGCGGATCTCTGAGTTCAAGGCCAGGTGTACAGAGCAAGCTCCAGGACAGCCAGGGTTACACAGAGAAACCCTGTCTCTCGTGGGAGGCATAGGAGATCCACATTAACCAATGCTATCCGTGGGTACTGACATCTATGCAGGAAGGTGCTGCCATGGCTGCTGTACAGACTGCTTTGTGATGTATCTGAGCTAGACTTGAATGGAAGAGGATAGTTTTCAGTATACTAGATGGATTGTGGATTGTGTGCACTGCCACAACTAATGGCGTTGTGTTTGAGTCCAGCTTTGCTGGCTAACTGCCTATGTACCTCCCTCTTCTTAGATTTATGTGTATTGATATTTTACCTGCGTGTATGTCTGTGTGAGGGCATCAGATCCCCTGGAACTGGAGTTTCAGACAGTTGTGAGCTGCCAGGTGGGTGTCGGGAATTGAACCCAGGTCTTTGGAAGGACATCCAGGGCTATTTATAGCCGAGTCATTTCTCCAGCCCCTACCTGTGTGTCTTTAGGCAAATTACCTAACCCTTGTAAATTACTGGTTAATCTTCAAATGGAAGGTAATAGTTTCTGTCTCATGAGTCTGTGAGGATGAATGGATGTTTGTGAAGGGTGAAAGATAGTGTCTATAGAAAAGAATTCAGTTATGTTGGGTGACTATAAATGAGAATCCAGAATCAGAGCAACACGAGTGGATTGAGTGTGCTGGAGAGACAGCTGAAGACTGTGTGTAAAATCTACACCTCAACACTGTGTGTAAGATCCACACCTGAAGACTGTGTGTAAGATCCACACCTGAAGACTGTGTGCAAAATCCACACCTGAAGACTGTGTGCAAAATCCACACCTGAAGACTGTAAGATCCATACCTGAAGACTGTGTGTAAAATCTATACCTCAACGACTGTGTGTAAAATCCACACCTCATCACTGTGTGTAAGATCCACAACTGAAGACTGTAAGATCCATTCATAATTTTGTGATTTTTTTTTGTTTGGTTTTGTTGTTTTGTTTTTTGAAGACAGGTTTTCTCTTTGTAGCCCATGATGTCCTGGAACTTTGCTCTGTAGACCAGGCTGGCCTTAAACTCAGAGACCTACCTACCTCTGCCTGAGTGTTGGGATTAAAGGGGTTTACTACCATGCCTGCATGATTTTTATTTCAGTTTGTGCGTGGGGATGTGGTATATGTGTGTGGTGTATGTATATGTATTTACCTTGTATTGTGTTTGTGTGTGTGGTATGTGTATTTGGTATGTGTGTATGCTATGTGTGTAATATGTGTGGTGTACGTATGTGTATGGATTTAGTGTGAGGTGTTTGTGGTGTATGTGTATGTATGTATTTGGCATGTGTGTATGTGTATGGATTTGGGGTGTGTGTGGTATATGTGTGTGTAGTGTATGTGCATATGTGTCTGGTGTATGGTGTGTATGTATTTGGTGTGTGTAATGTGTGTGTGTGTGAACGGTGGAGCCCAGAGCCCCACACTCTACCACACAGGTACGTCCTCATCTCTGCCTCTCTTTTAGAATTCATAAACTCAAATCTTTCCTCTGCCAGATTTGATTTCATGGATGGTTTTATGGGCACTTCTCTTTTCTGAGGACAAGTTGTCCTCAGCTTAATCTGCAAAGGCAACTTTGCCTTAGGCGAGTGTCTGATAGCTACCAGAGTTGGAAGCAGATCACATTTTAACCTGGGACTTTGGGGGTTGAGCCGGCACTCCTCCGGGATGCTGCTTTCCTCTGGTGCTGCTCAAGAAAACCCACGGTTTCTAAGAACCCACATGATGCTTAAATGTGCAGCCTGTGTTGGCAATCGGAATCAGCTGCTCTATCTGAATCAGCTGGTCTTCTTTCCGTTCATTCTTAGGTACCTCAGTTATTCCCAAGTCCCAAGAGGCAAATTCCCCCCATTCTCTCTCTCTCTCTCTCTCTCTCTCTCTCTCTCTCTCTCTTTTTTTTTTTTTTTGGTTTGGTTTGGTTTTTCGAGACAGGGTTTCTCTGTATAGCCCTGGCTGTCCTGGAACTCACTCTGTAGACCAGGCTGGCCTCGAACTCAGAAATCCGCCTGCCTCTGCCTCCCAAGTGCTTGGATTAAAGGCGTGCGCCACCACTGTCCGGCTTTTTCTTTTCTTTTTATATTTTTTATTATTTATTTATTTTTCCCCCCATTCTCTAAGCTTTCTTCCTGCTACACTGAGAAATCCTGGATTTCTGTTTCACTGCCTCGGGACTTGGACTTTTTCTTTTCCATCGGGTACTATGTTCCACCTCACTTTGCTGCCTGCCTGGAGATCACTGATGGGACTAGCTGACGCCCTCGGCTCCTTCAGATCGGGAGGGATAGACCAGGTGGCGGTGTCACCTCCACTTTGAAGTCTCATAATCACTTCAGTGTGGCACGTACTAAGTGGAAAATGGATATGGACTGTCAGGCTTCGGGTTAATTGGTTTCACCCCCTGTCACAGAGGGACAGAGTCCTCTGATCACCCTCAATGGAGTGAGTCCCTGAACCTGCTTCACTCCCAGGGGAGTGGCCTCCAGAGTAAAGCCTTTACTAAGTTTCCGCCGCCACCCACCGGGCACCCATTGCCCGCCTCCAGGTTCTGCCCTGCCGAATGGCACATAAATGAAATCTCAGAAGAAAACTTTTAACTCAATTAATTTTTATTAATAACCAGGAGTGGCAGAAATACAATTCCCCCTTCTCATGGCCGGTCAAAGATGAAATTTGATTATGCTTTGAAGGGTGCGGTTTGAAATTTTTTCCTGTCTTGACCTACCTCTCTAGCCAAGGGGAGGCGTACTCGCTGCATATATAGAGGCTGCGCTGCTCTGGGAAAAGTCAAACCAGTTCTGCACCATGGGGAAGAAGCAGCCGAGGGCAGCAGCAGCTGCTCCGAACTGTGAGCTCAGTAAGTGGGCACAGCCCAGGGACGCTGGCCACCCGAGCACACCTGGATGCTGACACAAACAACTCTCGCCCTTTTCTTTTCTAGATGCAGCAGGGGGTCCCAGAAGAAAGGTTCTGGGCTGGAAGGCATTTGAGAAGCCTTTCTCCACGGTCGAGCTGGAGGGACGTACAGGATTAATTTGTACAGTTTCTCTTCTTTCAGGAAACCGTTCTGTATGAAGAGCAGCAGCCCCCGCCAGGGTGTGGATGTTTGGCTTTTTTGTTTGTCCTGAGTTTGCTTTTGCTGTCATATTTTTTTAGATTCCTCTTTTGGGGTTTACCCTTTCTTCCTATATCTCCGTTCTTACCAAATAATGAACATTTCTCCCGGCAGTTTCTATGTGAAGAAAACAGGGGTGTCATCTCTACTGTTGTAGGGGAAATCGAGAAAACCTTTTTGGTGGCTCTTAAAAACTTCATGGCAAGTTGGGGGAATTGTCAGGCCACAAGAGTGTGAAGGGTGAGGGTGAGGGTGAGGCTGAGGCTGGGGATGGAGCGGGATTGTTTTTGGGCAAGCAGGATAAAATGTGCGGAGAAGAGAGAAAGCCAGGTGGGATGGGGTACAACTCACTGTGAGGCTAGTAGTAGGACGACAGGTGCGGCCAAACTGGCTGTACTGGTCGAAGATTCTCGGTTCCTCCCAGACGTGGGGTGATCTTGGCTCGTCAGCGGGCACCGTGCTGTGGCACAAGAAGCCAGAAGAACAGGGACTGCTATGGTGCCTTATTATCAGGTGTAGCTGTATCTCGGAGTCGTCATCTCTTAGGAGGAAACAGGCATGTAGTTAACTAAAAGGAAGTGGCGGGAACTATGACCAAAAAAAAATGTATACGTCCCGAGCATTCTGGGGATGGGAGTTGCCAATTTGAGAACTCGGTAGGTTTGAACTGCGAAGACCGCGGCTCGCCTGGCGGAGCCACGCCCCCGGGCAGGCCCCGCCTCCATAAACCCCGCCCCAGCCAGCTCGGGTGGGCGGAGCCTCCGCTCCCCCCGCCCAGGCCACGCATTCCCGCAGCTGCAGGAGTCCAGCCAATCAGGGGAGCGGGACTCCCGCTCGCCCGGCCAATCACGGGAGGGCAGGAGGTTGACTGGGTCTGCTCTGGCTCCTGGGATATGGAGTCGCCGGCGCGGCGTGTCAGGAGGTGGTGGAGCCGGTAAGCCGAGGTGCTGGCGGGGTCAGGGGTTACGGCGTCCCACTGTGCGCGGCCGTGCGAGGGGGCTCGGCTGGTGGCCTGCGGGGCGGGGGCGGCGGCGGGCACGGGAAGGGAGCTCCGTAGCCCGAGGAGACCGGGAGAGCTCCCGGCTCAGCACAGGCGCCGACGGTCACGGGCCTCGGCCCTTCACGGCGACCCGGGACACCGGACCACCCTTCCGCGGCCGGCTGGCCGGGGGGCGCGACCGCAGTCCCTCCCGGAGCCCCGGGGTCTCCCGCGGCGCAGCGCCCTGTCGTCAGCCCAGCGGCCGCCGGTGCTGCGGGGTTTGCCCAAAGGCCTCAGGCCTCGGGGTTGAGTGTTGCTCAGTCGCCGGGCTGTGTGCAGCCCGGGTCCCTGCGCCTTTCAGGTCTCGTTCAGGGACACCTTGCACACGATGGATGCGCCGCTTCTCTGCAGCAGCATCCTAGGCCGTGTAGTGTGAAAACTGACTTGTTTGATATTCCACCTCTGGATTCTTTGTCCATTTCGGTTCTCCAGCCCACTTCTTTGACACATCCTATTTGGAAGGGCATCCTCAGGACAGAAGTTGAGTTTCCTCTGTATACAATGGAGACCCTGTTATTTCTTGTTTCTCAACGGTGTGGTTTAAGGCAGCAAAAGCAAACATATGGAAGGAGAGCTGGTGAGGGCTGGTGGGCATCTGGGGGCTTTCATGTGACCCGTGGAGTAACCACGGGAAGCTGTCCACCTTGTCCACCATGGCATCTCCAGCCTGACCGAGTCTCATCACTTCTTGGCAGTGTCAACTTTTTGTTCGTGGTCTTTAAGCTTCCCTGCGTTCCACACACTTAAAGTGAGGGTGCTGCTGGGTCTGACAGGGCTGTTGGTGTTAAGTTAGTTAATACAGGGAAAGTGCTTAGGGCAGTCGCTGCCACTTGGCTGACATTTTTTTTTTTTTATTACTGCTTGGTTATGCATGTTGTTTCCTTAAAGACTTTAACCTTCTTGGTAGTCTTTGCCCTGAATTCCCTGGGCTGTTGCCAAAGCCCCCACCCCCACCCCCGCCCCAGGCCAGGGCTTTCGAGCCATACTATTAGTCTGCAAGTGCAGCAGCTAATTACAGGTGAAGAGAGGCCCAGTGCTGACAGTTCCTTCTTACTCCTTGTCTTTTGAGACTAGATCTGGCTGCATATCTTTAACTGGCCTTGAACTTGGAGTGTAGACCAAGTTGGCCTCTAGCTTACAGCGCTCCTTCTGCCTCTGCTGAGATCACAAACATTGACCACTCCAGCTCGGCTCCTGCTGAGTTTATTAAATGAGGTTGTTAAGTAACATTCTAGACTGTTTCCTGCAGTAGCTCTGTTGGTAAGTGTGACATTGAGATTTCACTGGTGTTTTTTTTATTAGCTGTTTCACTCAGTCTTGCTTGGGCTAAGAGTTTATTTTGGACACAAACCTAAAAGGCAAGGGACTGCAGTACAATGTGGTCTCTCATGTTCCGGGAAGGACTGTGGGACTCAGAAGGGGAATTCCTGACATGGTGTCAGCACCTCTTGTTGAGGAATGGGGAAGCTGGATGTGAATCTCGGAGATGCTGCTCTCGGGAAAGCAGAAGCTGTGTCACTCAGCAGAGCTTATGAGCAGCCGATGGTCCAGCTGTGACTCAGTGAACTACTATAGAGAAGTGTTTCCATCAACTAGGATCTTTTTCTGTTTGAATTTGAAGCCTGTCAGATGGCTTCATGTCTGCTACAGCAAGCACTTGTGTGTGAGCCTCACAGTCTTAATTCCTTTCCAGTGGTTGGAGATGACAGGCATTCCCAAGAAGCAGCTGTGGCTCATTTGCTCAGCAACATTGTTAAGAACTGGTCACTGAATGAAACTGTGGGAAAGCCCATAGGTGGTGTCAAGCCCCCTGCCCGTGTGTGGCTGCAGGCGGCTTAAATCTACTCGGTTCTCCTTGTATTACAACAGTTTAATACTTCTTTAGGTTGAAATGTATTGCCGGGCGGTGGTGGCGCACGCCTTTAATCCCACCACTTGGGAGGCAGAGACAGGCGGATTTCTGAGTTCGAGGCCAGCCTGGTCTACAGAGTGAGTGCCAGGACAGCCAGAACTACACAGAGAAACCCTGTCTCAAACAACAACAACAACAACAACAAAAAGAAATGTATTAAAATTCATATGTCATGGGAAGGCTACAAGTTAATTATTAAAATTTTATTAGGTTCCAAAGAGCAGAAGGAAACATCTATGGCTGGGAATCTTTTACTCTTATGTTTGTCTGACTTGACCCATAAGTTTTCTTTTAAGAAAAGAAGGTAAATTTCGAAGATAATACCTACAAATGGGTTGGATATGATCTGATGACAAACGCCCTTCAGATTTTCTGGAGAAAAGCACTGTAAATGTCAAAAGATGAGCAAAGCCTCTTAGGGTGAGAAAGGAAGTAACATGCTTTGGTAGGTTTCTTTTCCTTCTGGTAGAGAGGGCCTTTGAAGTTGTTCACAGGATGGAGGTGTCAGGCCAGGTGACCAGACTGCCCCCCACCCCCAAGGAAACAGTGTTGTCAAGCTGTGGTTAGAAGGAAGTTTGTAGGAAGCTTAACTCTGTCAGAGTTGGGAGGTCAGAGTAAACCGTGAGCAGTCAGGAAGGTGTACCCTGGCTGAGCAGAGAAAAGGAATAGTTCTCAGTAGTGGGTACCAGGCCTGCCCACACACCTGCCCTTTCTTTTTCTCTTAGGAGTTTTATTATTTTTAATTATTTGTGTATATGTGTGTGCCTCTGGGATACATGACAGGTGTGCAGATGCCCATCAAGGCTAGAGGTGTCAGACCTCCAGGAGTTGGAGTTACAGGCAGTTGTGAGCCCTCTGATGTACCTGCTTGGTCTTCTGGAAGAGCAATGAATGCTCTTAACCCCTAAGCCATCTCTCCAGCTCAGGCCCTTATTACCAAAGACTCGTTGATAAATACTACTTTTGTCTGACAGATCAGTGCTTGACAGACAGTTCTTATCTTCTCTGACACCCAAGCAGGCAGTTTCGTTATCATCCGTATTCCTCTCCCCAGATCTTTCTCCCCTCCCCTCCAGCCTGTCCTTCCCTCCCTTCTTCTGTGTCTGGTTGTGTGTTTGAAGACAGGATCGGGCTGGCTAGCTTAGACTGGCCTGCAGCTTCTCCCACACTGGTAGGGAGCTCTTAGCTCTTGAAGGCCGGAATTCCACCAGTCACTGTGCTGAGTTTTCCTTTTCTTGCTGCTTTAATGTTTGTTTGTTTGTTTGTTTGAGGCAGAGTCTTTCTTTGTATGTAGTCCTGGCTATAGCTCACCATGTAGGCCACACTGGGCCTACAACTCACAGAGCCTGCCTTCGCCTCCCACTAGTGTTGAGATTAAAAGGCTGCCTCATCCCCACCCTGTTAGCTTTTCTTTCAGTCTCAGAACTGAAAAGTCAAACCGAGGTTGGAAGCAGCACACTGGCATTGAGTTGAAATTGCAGTTCTCAGGGAGGACAGGGAGGAGGAGAGGTTAGTGAAATGTCAGTCTCAGTGTCAGTACCTGATTCAAATATTCAGCGATATTCAATAGGAGCACTGTTCATGCTTTATGAGCGCGGCGTGCTGTGTGGAATAAAGGCCTTATAGTAACCCAGGCAAGTAGACTCCATTGGAGTTTTAAGGTCATTTTTTAAAGCAGGGTCTCATGTAGCCAAGTTTGACTTTGGATTCACATACCAAGTGCCGGGATAAACAGACCTATGCTGCCACAGGTTGATTGGACGCTGAGGATCAAGACCAGGACGTGTAGTACCACTGAGTTTCATCAGGAAGCCCTGAGGCTTTCCCTAAACTAGCACAAGGTGCTTTGCTTAATTCTTCTGTCTTGGAGTAGACAAAAACCATAACTGAGATGAAAGCCATAATCTTGAGATGAAAACCGCAGCCTGCCTTTTTCTTTCCCTCATCTGTTTGTTTCATGTCCGTTCTTTCTGTGTGTGTATGTATGCGTGTGTGTATATATGTGTATGCACATGTGTGTATTAGAGTCATTGTGATCAAACCTATGGGCGTGTACTTAGTAGGTAAGCACTGTGTGGCTGAGTTATTTCCCAGCTCTCAAATTCATTTTCATAAGAGAAAGTAGGATAAAACATTGTCATAGCTTGTTTCTTTGTTGTGACAGAGTCTCATGTACAGCAGACTGGCATTTACCTTACTCGGTAGCTACGGGTGAGCTTGAATTTCTAAGTTTCTGATCCTCCTGCCTCTACCTCTTGGTCCTTCCAGTGACTCTAGGTGAGAACCACAGATTTACCAGTGTGTGAGTATGAATATGTGTGTGTGTATGAATATGTGTGTGTGTGTGTGTGTGTATGAATATGTGTGTGTGTGTGTGTGTGTGTGTGTGTGTGTGTGTGTGTGTGTGTTAAGCTAGGTCTCTGTATACCACTGGTAGACCAGACTGGTCTCTAATTCAGGTATGGGCCACCATGCCTCCTTTAATTTAAATAATAATTCCAAACTTAATACTCTCAGGGATCTGTTTCTTTCCCCTCACTCCCAGTAGATATAAGTAGATACCTGGAGATTGTCAGATCCTTGATGGGAGTCTCTGAGAATGATTGCTACATCAGTCTAGGATTTTAACAGAAAAGTACTCTGTCCTTAAAGCAAGGAGGAAAGTATATTGCCCAACGCCTCACATGCATGTGCCTTACAAGGTCAAGGCTCTGGAGAGGGCAGGGAGTGAGAGACACTAGCAGTCTTGATTGGCTCTGTTTGAAAATATTAAAACAACAGCAATTTGGTTCCCAACCATTCAAGTGGAAAGAAAGAGTTCACTTTATGAAATACACCTCATGGGAAGTGGGTGCTAGAGAAGCAGATGGTGTCGTGGGATCCACTGTGACTTTAGCTGACATAGGAAAAAGAGAATCAGGTAAGATTTGGAAATCTTTTCCTATTAGTCCCTACTTCACCCTTTAGAGACAGGATCTTACTAAGCAGCTGCAGGCTGGCCTTGAACTTGTGACTCAGGTGCCTAAGTCTCCCACATGCTAGTGTTACAGGTCCTTATTGTCTTCTAAGTACTTGAGCTAGAGAGATGCCAGGCTGAATCTGATCTCCAAAGCCCCCAAGGTAGAAGGACAGAACCCACTCTGAAGTTGTCCTATGATCTGGACAGGTACACACACATGCACACTACCGTAACACACACATAAGTAAATGTATAAAAAGGATTTATTACTTTGTATTGTATAGTTTGTGATCACTGTGTGTGTTTCTGGAACTGACTTGTATCCGAGGAAAGAATCCAGAAAAAGAGGTGGCTCTGCCATTCACCGGAACATTCAGAGTTAAGAGTTACAGAATCTTAGTGTCAGGGATTACAGACAGTGGCTTGGGTTGCTTGTATGTAAATTCTAGTTCCTGTTCTTTGACTTTATTGAAATGAAAGGCAGAAGGAAGAAAAGAGGTATGGGCAGTGGGAAGATTAGAGATTGTGTACAAACAACCCCACTCTCCTCCCCAGGAGGACAAGAATGACAAAAACTTTGTTCTCCATGCCTTCAAATTAACGAAGTGTCTGTAAATGAATATAAGAGATCATTGTTTTAAACTTAAGCCTTTCAACATAAGAAAATAGATTAAGTTACATTGTACGTGTATTCAGTATTTCATCCTTTATTTTGTTTCTTTAAGCTAGGATATTACTTTGTGGCTCTGGCTGGGCTGTAACTTGCTGGGTAGACCAGCTTGGCCTCAGACTTTTTTCAGTCCTCCTGCCTCTGCCTGTTGAGTGCTGGGGTTACAGCCCTGCACCACCACACCTGACCAAATGTGATTTTTTTTTTTTTTTTTTTTGTTTTTCGAGACAGGGTTTCTCTGTATAGCCCTGGCTGTCTTGGAACTCACTCTGTAGACCAGGCTGGCCTCGAACTCAGAAATCCGCCTGCCTCTGCCTCCCAAGTGGTGGGATTAAAGGCATGCGCCACCACCGCCTGGCTCCAAATGTGATTTTTAAGGTAATTGAGTTTTCTTGAGGAAGTTGCAGAAGGGTTGAGAGGAGAATACAGGGAGGAGCTATTCTCACCACCTTGTGACAGGCTCACCAGTTAGTGCTGGGCAGGGACAGGCTGGTTAGTGCTGGGCAGTGACAGGCTGGTTAGTGCTGGGCAGGGACAGGCTGGTTAGTGCTGGGC